AGGAGGAGGAGGAGGAGGCAGGAGAAGAAGGAGGGGTAGGAGGGGAGGAGGAGAAGGAGGGGGAGGAGGAGGGGAGGAGGAGGAGGGGGAGGAGGAGGGGGAGGAGGAGGAAAGAGAAGGAGGCGGGAGGGGGAGGAGGAGAAGCGAGGAGGGGGAGGATGATGAGGAGGGGGGGAGGAGGAGGAGGGAGGAGGAGGAGGAGGAGGAGGGAGGAGGAGGGGGAGGAGGAGGTGGAGGAGGAGGAGAAGGAGGAGGAGGAGGAGGAGGAGGAGGAGGGAAAGGGGGGGGGGAGGGGGGGGGGGGCGTGGGGGAAGGAGGCCCATGCCTCTCTCCCCTCGGACGGCCGCCCGCCTCGCGGTGTAGGCAGCCAAGCTCCTTTTCTCGCTGGCGAGCCGCCGATCACGGCGTCGGATCAACACGCAGAAGGCATCTATCTATGCACCACCACCGTGCCAGGCAGGGGCCGTGGCACGGGACGGTTGTACATGATGCCTTTCGTCGGAAAGCGATGACCTCGCAAGGAAAGGGCCCGAACCTTTTGGGCGGGACCTGAGTAAGAAGGTCACAGGAAGCAATAGGGCAACAAGGGAGCTGTTTCTGCAGGACGTGTAAACACCAGACCGCCCAGAGACAAGGCTATCTTCAAATTCAAAGGCGCAGAGCTTCGTGACTGAGGCCGCGCCTTCGCTATGTTGCCAGGGTTAGGGGCTACGTCATCCTCGATGCCATGATGCTCATGCTTCTCTCATCCTTCTCCTCCTGTGCTCTTCCGCGCCCGCCTCGCCCCTGAACCCCCGCCCGCGCCTGGCCCGCATTGCGTAAGGCCTAGTGCCCCTGATATTTCACTTGCAAGGGATGTAAACAATCGGGGTCCGGTTGAGAAAACTTTTCACTCTATAACTCCTCCGTCGGGGCGATCGTGGAAAATTGCTTTTGAATTGGTTTTGGATTGCATGCGAAATACAAACAAATGCTCAGCAGCCCACCAAGAAAAACACGTCGCGCGAGCGGCGCAAAGCGGTGCGTCCCGATCGCGATAACGCATTGGAGAAGCCATGCAAGCAATGATGAGATAAGGCGGCGTGGCATTACAAGGGGGAAAGCAAACATGGGGCAACAACGTACACCACGCCAAGGCTAGGGCTGCACGGCGCTACCCCACGCATACATCTCCACCTCATCTTGCCCCGTCGCCTTCTCGATTTGTTGCAATGGCACGGCTATGCATTACCCCGCTCGCGGCGCACCGCCTTGCTCGATTCGCGCGCTAGTGTTTCACTGGCGAAGGCCAATGACATTTTTTGCCGCATTCAGACGCATCCCGAACCAAATCCTAAGCAACGCCCCGCGGATCACATGGCCGAACTGTGTTTTCAAGAAACTGGTTGCCATAGTGTTCGCGGGTCGTCGAACGCGTCGCGCGTTTCGGGGCCCTGCGAGGGTGGCGCCGACCAAAGGCCTCGATGGCAGGGTCCGCACTGGCGAACGCCATGAATTTGTGATGGCCCTACACTGGCCTGGCCGCCTCAACAAAAGCCCACCCCCGAAGCCTCTAGTAGCGGGGATTGCGCATCTCCGCAGCCATTCCAGCACGCGCATCATGCGTTTCGTGGCCCAACGGAGAGCTCCACCGTTGCCCGCAGTGGACGGGGTTCGCGCGCGCGCCCTCCGCTCGCGTCGGCGCCCTTCTCACGCGTTTCGTGGCCCGACGGAGGGGGGCCACCCAAGGCCCCACTGGCAGGAATAGCACGCGTCATAACCGATCGCGTCGGCGCGCCGACCAAGCCCACACTGGCCCAACGGTGAGCTCCACCGAACGCCCATCCAGAAGGCCCGCATGACTTCCGAAGCAGGTCCCAATGGGGGGTTGGGAAAAAGAACGCCGACGTGATATGATAACGTTTCCCATCGAAATAACACCGAGTGGCCTTTAGGCACCCGACGCGCACCCAACGAGGCCCAGAGTTAGTTCGAGAGATCCCCCATGCGGCGCCCAAGATGCCCCAGGAAGCAACCGAACTCCCAAGCGCGCAGCCAAGAACATCCGAAGATGCCCCCAACAGATCACCCCGAGATCTCCGCACGCGTCCGATGTCCGTAACCCACAGTCCACGCACGGCGGCGGTTTCGGCCGAAGGCCATTAGATAATTTGCTAGGGCGTCGCGGGTTCTCGGTCATCCTGGGGGTCGGCTGGATGGCGTAAGCCAATGGAATAAACTGGCAAGCAGGAGAAGGATGAGCAACTGAACTCGAGCACAATGCAGGGAGCTGACGATGATAAGGGGGCGCACGAGGAGGAGGGGCAGGTACCTGACGAGGACAAGGAGGAGCAGAAAGGGAGGGATGAGCGTGGGAGGAGGGCGGAGGGATTTCGAGGGCTCGGACACAAACGCCACCCCCCCGAGCCACCCGAACCAACCCTTAACGCGCACCCTGGCACCAACACCTTAGCCCCAAACCCCAAACCCACGCACCCCCCAACGGAGCGGCGCGCCAAACCCCACCGCCACAACCCCAGCCGTAACCAGACCGCCCCACGCCAACACACGATCACTGAACAACCCTACCAAGTCCTGCCACTTGCCCCTTACCCAACCCCCCCATTCCGTAGCCCCCCACGCGCAAAACTAACAACCCGACTCCAACGCAGCCAACCCCGACGGAAAAAAGCAAAGCGGCTGGAGGAGGAGGAGAAAGAAGAGGAGGGGGAGGAGCAGGAGGACGAGGGCGAAGAGCCCTGAAATCCACCTTGCTCTCCATCAATATTTTTCAAGGCCACTCCGCGCGCTCCAGGCGCAGCGGCCAACAACCACTCGGCAGCGGTGTCGGCCCAGCGGTTGCCACAGGCCCATGATTGTTATGTCATCGCTCCTTTCCTCTCCCTCTTCCCCCTCCCCCCCCTTCTCCCCCTCGTCCCCTCCTCCCTCCTCCTCCCATTCCTCCCACTCCCCCACTCCTCCCCCTTCTCCCTCTCCTCCCCCTTCTCCTCCTCCCGTCCTCTTCCTACGTATAGTTCCATGGGCCTGCGGCTCCCGAGGGGAGACCCCGCTGCGCGAATATCTCCTAGCCCTGCAAGGGCATCAAGTTGATGGCGTCCTCCACGTGCTTCTTGACCCATGGGTGCGCGCCCTGGTAGCTGTTGGGCTTGCTGTTGTTGCCTGAGTTACGCTCCGAGCGGCATTTCTGCTGCAGCTTGTTCTTGTCCTTCACCAATGCCATAACGCCGATGATCGTCGCTTCCTTACTGGTCGTGAACGCCTTCTTCAGCTTGACCTCGAGCGCGGCTTCCCACGCAGTGTCTGGGCTCGTGTCGAAAGCTCCCCGTTCTGTCTTGGCCTTGTCGAAAGCCGCCTTGAACTCATTCGCCTGCTGCTTGAATTTCGCTGGGTTCAGCGTGAGGAGCGTCTTCTGCGCGTGCTTGTGGAGGGCCGCGAACGCGCTATCGCCGACAAGCAAGCCACGCCAATCCGAGTCGTCGAAGGTGCCGCCGTGAGCCGCCTCAAGGCCCCTCTGGTTCTCGTCGCCGTTGTCGAATGGCTTAGTCCACACCGCGTTGGCGGCGGCCACCGCAAGGAGGTAGCGCTCGAGGGCATCGGCCCTGATCGTCTGCTCGGTGCTGGTCAGAGGGGCCGTGATCAAGTCTGCTTGCTGGAAGGACGGCGGGAGCTGCCTGAACTGCGCCTCGATCGCCTTGCGACTGCTGTAAAGGAGCTTCAACACCATGCCGTCGGGGTCACCGTTGGCGATCCGAGCTGCGAGGTCAGCACCAGACGCGATGTACTTGCGATGGGCCGTCTTCGTCTCAACGATTGTGCCCAGCAAGCGGTGCGCAACACTCCAGTCACGCCTCTGGGTAGAGCTCGGGTGCAATATCTGCATCACGTGTCCGACGAGGCCGACCGTATCGTCTGAAAGGTTATCTGCGTTGTCGATCATCTTCTGGTACACGCCCTTCAAGAGAGTGACTGCTGCCTCCTGGACGTTCGCTGGGAATGGATTCTCTAGATCTGCCGCGCGCATGATATCGGCAACCTTTCCGATGAAACTATCCCTGGACTCTTGGTTCATCAACTCTTCGGGCCGTATCGAACTGATGATGCTGCCGAACCCTGCTTTGGACACCTCGACGCACATGAGACGCCCAATCGCTTTGCAAGACTCAATGGCACCGGTGATGGTCGGAGTAAGCCTGAAACAACCGCAGTCCTGCGCGATCCCCGAAAACCGCTGCACAGATTTCAACACCTCGATGTGGGAGGGAAACTCCGAAGGCTCCACTGTGTTGGCCCTCCAAACGTCCGAGATCACTTTCACCTTGATGCGCAAACACAAATCTCCCGAAAGCACCACGCTTCCATCGGGGATGCTGCGGGCCTGCCTCACCACGAATCTACGCGTCGATCTCCCTAGTTGCGTACCGCTCGGGAGAGCTCAGGGGGGCACCCAACTGGGGGGGCAGGCCAGCATCACCCAGAACAAACGGCACCAATCAAACCCAATGGCGGCCACCGTCGGGGAAACAACACGGGCCAATCGTCGGCTCAACCATCGGGACCAGCGCCACAGCATCGTTCGGGAATCCATCGGGGACAACTCCCAAGACAACCCCACCACATTTACCTAGCGAGATCGCCACCAGTAAATCCCAGGAGCTATGTATCGGCATCGCTGCAAGAAGTTTTCTGTTAGCTACCGATCAGTGCAGCGACCGAAATACTTCTCTATCGATGTAACGATCTCACTATCAACCTGTCTGCGCCACAACGGCTTACCCTAAGAACGGCTGTCGGAACGCACATCGGCACAACCACAACGGCAACCATCGATACACTCATTAAGACATCCTCGCGCTCCTGGCGCGCACCCGAGAGCACGCCTCTTCGATGTCTCGCATGGCCCAAAAGAGCCCCACGTGCAGAAGGACTCACCTAAAACCACAATTGGTGAAGGGGGCGGCGGAGGGATATCGATTCAGTCCAGAGACATTGACAGCCAACGCCTCCAGGTAGGCCATGAGCTTCACCTCGAGCACCTTGGTGGCACCCTCTCGCGAGTTCTTCCTCAACGTTGCCATGTTCTTGATGCGCTCCTCAAGCTTAGGCATGACTTCTATCGGGTCGGCCTGGTCCTCGAGGACCATCGTGGCAAACCTGATATTGTCCACGCTGGGCGGGTGGGTCACCTGGGCGACCCGCCCACTCCCCCCGTGAATGCCGCCCATGCCGCCCGAAGGCCGCCTCATGGTCCTCCAGTCGTGTCCTTATCCTCCACCCCCGCCGAAGGTCCACCATGCCCTCCTCCTCTTCCTCCCCAGCCAACCCCGCAATTCACCCCTCGTGCACCCCGTCACCACCACCCTACGGAGATCCATCCAGCCCAACCGTCAGACTCGGGGCCACCCGTTCCAGAACCTCGGGCCCGCCCGCGTGACAAATCCAGCAAGAACCGTTTCGCCCAATTCACCTTGGTCTTCTTGATGGACACCACGTTGTTGGCGAAGGCGGCCGTCTCGCACATCCGCTCGTTGAAGTAGAACCTCAGGCCCTTCCACTGACCGTCGGAGGGCGGCTCGGCCGCCGACAGCGCGTCGAAGTCGGCCGCGAACTTGAAGTTCAACGGGTCGGGGTCCATGACGTACTGGGCGGCCCGCAAACACTCCACCGCAGAGTTCACGCTCAACTGGATCGCCCCATCGACGTCCTCCCCCATTGAGTTGATCAAGACTTGGTCGATCTTCTGACACATGCCGATGCACTGCCCTGTAGTTCGCGACGTGGCCCAACTCCGCAGCAGCGGGCACCGCAAATAGGGGAAGGTCGCGCTCTCAAACCTGACCGTCTTCGCCGCTGCATCACCAGGGATCCGGTACCCGCGCGGGCCCCGCCAATCAAAGCCAAGCTCGCCCTCGGGACATTGCAGCTGCTCCTCGCCCTCAACCGACACCAGCGCCGTCGGCAATACGATCTTGAAGAACCCCACGATGTCATCCGAGCTGCCGCTCACTATCTCTGCCCCCAAGGCTGATGCCGCGCGGTTGCCGATCTCGACTGCAAGCGAAACTGGTATCACCATGCCCGTCGAAACTAACGCTGTCACCTTTGTCTCGAACACATCTGGAGGCAACGTGTGCAGCAACTCTCGGTTCGACAAGTCCTCTGCGTACACTGCCAAGTCGAGGCGCTTCGTGATGAACCCCGCGGCATCGGTCTCGACCTGGTTGGATGACCCGCTGAACGTGTCTCCCCTGGCCTTCAGACGCGCCCTCTCGTGCCCAAGGTTGTTCCGTCCACTCGCGATGGTGGTGAGATTGATGGCCCTGAGCCTCTCCTGCAACATGCTCTCGAAGTTCCCCCCAAGCTTGAGCTGACCACCACCGCCACCCGACACCGTGGAAGCGGCATCGTCCTCGTCATCGTTCTTGTCTTCGTCATCGGCTCTGCAACCGACCACAGTCGCCACAAAGCCCCACCTTCCCCTGGTAAGATTGGTCCAGTAGCCGTACTTGGCAGGCTGCTTAGCCTGCTGCTCCTCCTGGGACATTGGCAAATCACCGCCATCCTCGGCGGCTTCCGCGCCGTCGGCTGGCTCGCCATCGCCAGCGGGAGAAAGCACGGGCCTGGGGGCGCAAGCGTCGCAGCTGATGTCCTGCAGGCGGCGCCGCTTGCACTGGGCACCCTCCTGCCCACTCGGGCGAACCATCTCGGCAAAGAAGCCCTTGCCCTGGGACGCCACCAACTGGTTGTCCGCCATCAGCCGATACTCGTCCTCGGTCGTGGAGCGCGAGACGCCGTACTCGACGATGACGCCGACGTCGGCGAGCCGCTCGGCATCGTTGACCAGAAACACCTGCATCTTGCTGGTCGGGTCGTCGGGGTTGTCGATCCGCGAGAGCTTGAAGCCCTCGACCTCGTGGCTCTGCTTGAAATGGTCCTCAGCGGCAGCGGGGAACGGAGAGAAAAACGCAGAAAGTAGTGGCGCGCAGCCCCCCCCCCCCCCCCCTCCCCTCCCCCCCCCCCCACCCCCCCCCCCCCCCCCCCCCCCCCCCCCATGGATCCAACGACCGCGCTGCCTCCATCGGCGCCCTCCTCCTCCACGTCCGCCGCCCCCTCGCCGTCCAACCTGCAACTCACCCCGAGGCCCTCGACCTCCACCGCCAAACCAACCCTGCTCAATGCCCGACCCTGGAACCCAGGCCCGAGAATGCTTCCGAGAAGGCCGAAGCTGCAACATTCAGAAAAGGATGGCCTATGGGTTTCTCAAGACCCGAAGGAAACGCTCAACCCGCTTACACGTTCAAACCCATCGCCCTCGAATTCTGACGCGGCGAGCCCACGCTTGCGCTTCAGCACCCTGGTGAAGAACGACTGGCCGCGGTAAACGTCGCAAGGAAAGAAGAACGCGCGGTGCGGGCGAGACCGCAGCGCTGAGCAGAACACCTCCGAAAAAAGCCTGGCCCTCGTTGCACTTGGCGATCACCGCCCCAGGGTTCCCGATGAAAGCAAAGGGGTCGCACGCAGGCCCGCAATCCCAGCGCGCTGGCCCCGCTGGGAAGTCGACCTCCGACGGCGAGGGGAGGGGCAGGTCGAAAACAACGGCCCTGGCGCACCCTGCGAGCTCCAAAAACAATCCACTGGAAACCTTCGACCTTCGAAGCTCAAGGCTCCTGACCCTGAACCCCTGACCAGACCCCGCAAACCTGTATAGAATGAGCCGCCGACGCGACCCAACTGGAATATCAAAACGGCGTCGTTCGTCCTTTGCGGTGGCCAACATGAGCCGACAACCCGCTCTGGGACCAAAGGGCCCATATAAAAAAAAACACACAGAACGCGTGCCAAAGAACATCGTTCCCAGGGGACCTCCTTCCAATCGTTTTCCCCCACCTTCTTCCACTCGAAGCTGTAATTACCCCACACATTGCACTTGAACTCGTCGTGGTTACCAGCTTTGGCCAGGGTGTTGGGGCACCCAGTACGACCACACTTATGAGGGGCCTCGAGGAGCTCGTCTGCGTAGGCCTCCACGCCGACGTTCGTCAAGTAGGGCTTGGCATCGATGGTGGCCTTCTGCGGGGCATTCGCCGATGCTGGAGAAATCACCGCTGCCGCTGCCAACGAAGCTCCTGACACACGGCGCGGCTTCGCGGCGGGCGTCGTCTCAGGCTTGACGTGCATCGCGCTGCCGCCGCCCATGGAGCTCATGATGTCATCGTCCCTGGCAGCAGGCACGTTGTCCTTGCCCTTGCTCTCGGCGCCAAGCTTCCCGCCCTTGCCTCTGCCGCCGCCAGAAGATCTCATGACCGTCGCGGCGACGTAATGGCCAAGCCCTGATGGACGTGCTAAGCCAGCACCCAGCACCGACAAGTAATAACGTCTTGGAACAATGTGAGTGACCTGAAGCTTGATCCGAAGCCCCCACGGCGACGATACGTTGAAGCAAACAATTGACAACTGTTGGCAAGCACTTTCCACGCACCCTCATTGCGACATCCCTGAGACTGACCGAGAAAAAACATCCAATACAACCAACGGAGACGGAAACGCTAAATCCCACGGGCAACAACGCGCCTGCAAACCATGCGCATTGAGCAGCGCAGACTGCATTATCATGCCAAGTCGCCCAGGGGCCTTAGGGCCTCATCCTCAGCCACCAGACCTCTGCCCTCAAGCCTCAATCCTAATTTTCGGTCCGCAGCCTCAGTCCTCAGCCATGAGGAGTTATCCAGGGGTTCGGGTGGGAAGGCCTTAAATGCATTGGGCATCCTCTCGGGACACCGCATGAATTTTGGGCTTCTCACTAGTGATACCCCTCACGCCGATCGTGGCCACCGAGCGTAAAACATCGCGCCCTCTGCCAGACGAGGCACCCAAGAGGCTACAATAGGCCCATGTAAGGAGCGCCAACGAGAACCTCAAGATGCACCGACGAAGGCCCGAGGGGCACCCAAGAGGCCCCATGGGCCCTCCGAAGAAGGCCCACGGATGCCAAAACAACTCATGTGTTTGAATATGTTTAAAACATGGTTGTGTTCTCGCCTTCTCGGCTTTCCGACGTTCCAAGGCGCCGAAGGCCCGCGAAACCGCCCCAACACGGTGCAAGAGGCCTCCGAGCGAAGCCCAAGGTTGCCCACGAGAGCCCCAAAACCAGAGACGGCCCAACACGCGGCCGAGACGGACCCCGAGCGCCCCAAGGCTTGGCCCAAGATAGCCAAAGAACCCCGATGAGCGCTAAACCATAGCAGGCCGTGGAAAGGGAAGATGAGGGGGAGGGGGGGGGGAAGGGGGGGAGGGGGGGGGGGGGGGGGGGGGGGGGGGGAATGGGGAGGAGGGTGGAGGAAACAGAAATGGCACTAAGAGCCCCAAGAGCCCTAAGAGCCCTAAGAGCCCTAGGAGCCCTCATAAACTCAAGAGCACTAAGAGCCCTAAGAGCCCCCCAAGAGCCCTAAGAGCCCCTAGAAGACATAGGACCCTAAGAGCCCCCAAGAGCCCTAAGAGCCCCTGAGAGCCCCAAGAGCCCCGAGAGCCCCAAGAGGCCTAAGAGCCCTAAGAGTCCTAAGGGCCCTAAGAGTCTCAAGAGCCCTAAGAGCCCTAGGGGCCCTAGGAGCCCTAAGAGCCCTAAAAGACCCGAGGGCCCTAGGAGCCCCAAGAGCCCCAAGAGCCCTGAGAGCCCTAAGAGCCCTGAGCGCCCTAAGAGCCCTAAGAGCCCTAAGAGCCCCAAGGGCCCTGGGGGCTCTCAAAGCCCTGAGAGCCCAAAGGGCCCTGAGAGCCCCAAGAGCCCTAAGAGCCCTAAGAGACCTGAGAGCCCTAAGAGCCCTAAGAGCCCTAAGAGCCCTGAGAGCCCTAAGAGCCCTGGGCGCCCTAAGAGCCCTGAGAGCCCCAAGGGCCCTGGGAGCTCTAAAAGCCCTGAGAGCCCAAAGGGCCCTGAGAGCCCTAAGGGCCCTAAGAGCCCTAAGAGCCCCAAGAGCCCCAAGAGCCCAAAGAGCTCTAAGGGCCCTGGAGTCCTAGGAGCCCTAAGAGCCCTAAGAGCCCTAAAATCAGAGTGAGAGGGCCGAGCGGCCATTCATCATCATATCGGGGTGCGCGGCTGAAGTGGGACCCCTCAGAGTCTCAGAGTCGCGGGCGGGCTTGCCTGACGGGCCGCACATGGCATCAGAGGGGGGGGGGGGGGGGGGGGGGGGGGTGGGGGGGGGGGGGGGGGGGGGGGGGGGGGGGGGGGGGGGGGGGGGGGGGGGGGGGGGGGAAAGGGGGGGGAGAGGAGGTAGGAGGATGAGGAGGAGGAGGAGGAGGAGGCGGAAGGAGGAGGAGGGAGGGGGAGGCGAATGGGTAGGACGAAAGATGAGCGGACGAGGGTGAGGAGATGAGAGGAAGTGAACGATGCACCCCACGCGCGGGCGTTTTCTTCTCCTCTCCCACGAAGGAAGGGAGAGAAAATAAAGACGAGCGGCAGAGTGGGGTCCTCCGCCGGGACCCAACACGGCGCGCGTGCGCCATGGGGGGGGGAGGGGCGGGGCGCGCGGGTTGGCAATCTCAAGCACGCGGGCCCGATTGCTGTCCATATGTGTTGGCTTTTGCTGTCTGGTAGGCACCATTCTCTGCTGTATGGTAGTCGGTTCAATGCTATCTGGTGGGGTTGCTTACATGCTGATCCTTGGTGTCTGGCAGGTTTGTTCCGATTGTTCGTTGGGCCTCGTTTGGATCGGCAGGGAAGGAGCGCAGCTCAGGAACATAAGAAATACAATTATGCGAAGACACAACTTTTCACACCTCAATTGCATACAAAAATACAATTCGAGTGGAGCGGCAGCGACCTCCTGTCACGGCCCTCATCTGGAACAACTGGCGCTGCAGCCACTGATGTTGCTCATGCTGGCGTTGCAGCCACTGATGCAGCCACCGGACCTGATATATTCAACAACTGGTGCTGCAGTCACTGACCACTGGTGCCAGACGGATGCTGCCCATGGTGCGCGCGGCTGAATAATTGGCTTCGTCACGGTCGTCTTGGAGCCGCTCTTCGCCTCCATCGTGATCTTGTAAGTGGTCTGTGCAGGATTCAGGTCTTTGAAGTTAATCGGGAACCTGCTGCTCAGCTTGTCGAAGAAGCCCTGCCTGATGCCTAGCGGGGCGTCCTCCCATGCCTCCCATTCCGACGTCGCCACCATGTAGAGCTCCTCTGCCACGGTCTTGGTCTTGCGCGTGCGCGCTGCTGGAGACCTCGAGCGAGGCGGTGTCTCGATCGCCCCTACCTCGGACTTGCTCTCGTCGGCGTCGGGGGTCTTGTGGAGCGGCGGCTGCTTTCCCTGTGGGCTGGTGTTGTCGCCGCTGCTGGCAGCCGCTGCAGCTGCACCGCTGCTCCGAACCGAACTCTGCTTAATGGTCATCCTCCTCTCCTGGTGCTCGATGGGGAACTGCTGGGCTGCGGCCCTCGCTGCACTCGCCGCCGCTGCTGCATCATACTTCTCCTTCTCCACCGCGCTCACGTGAACCTTCGGCTGCATAGCCATAGCCATAGCCTGCTGCTTCTCCTGCTGCATCAGCTGCTGCTGTGGCGACGGGGCCTTCGGGGGCACAGGCATCTGCGCAGGCGCAGCATCCGCAGCAGCTGGAATGGCTGGCTCCCCGAAGCTGGCGGGCTGCTGGCTGTTCGCCTCCGCGTCGTAGCCGTCGCCGCCGTAGGGGCCATGGGCGTCGCCGTCGCCGCTAGGGAACATGGCGAGCGTATCGGACAGCGACGACGGCATCTCTGGCGCCATCGTCGGGTGAGGAGCCCTGGCTGACGGCGCCATCACGTGGGCGCCGAACACTGAAAAGAATAAAAAGTGCGTGCTCCACTCGAGGTGCTGAGCAACAAGGGCACGGAGGCCACGCCCCCCCTGCGAAAAAAAACGCAGGGCAACGCATCGGAATGGGGACGGGGGAAGGCGGAGGAGGAGGAGAAGGAAGAGGTCCCAGGAGGGAGGGAGAAGGGGGGAGAGGATAAGGGAGGGAGGAAGGAAGGAGGGGGGAGAGGGATCGAGGAGGAGAGAGGGAGGGAGGAAGCAGGGAGGAGGAGGACACGAAGAAGTGATCTGCGAGGCCCCCAGAGGCCCCCGACGCCCGAGGATCCCGCGGCCCCCGCGGCCCCCAGAGCCCCGTTGACGCGGCCCCCAGAACATCCTCGAGGTCCGTTCCCCCCCAGGACAATTCGGCGGAAATGGCGGCAGCCATAAGCATTTTTAATGGAAAGTGGACAAATGACAAATTATTCCAGCAAGCACTGCGTCTGGATATTAACACGAGTGCAAGCACTGGTTTGTATCTTATCACGCATAGTATCCTCCTCCTCCTCCTCCTCCTTCTCCTCCTCCTCTCTCTCCTCCTCCTCCCTCCCCTTCCTCCTCCTCCTCCTCGTCATCATCATCCCCCTTCGTCATACTCCCACCCATCTCTTCGCTCTCATCTCTATCATCTCTCTTTCACTCTCTCTCTCTCTCTCTCTCTCTCTCTCTCTCTCTCTCTCTCTCTCTCTTTATCTCTCTCTCTCTCTCTCTCTCTCATCCTCCTTCTCCTCCTACGACTCCTCCTCCCCTTCCTGCTCCTCCTTCTTCTCCTCCTCCTCCTCTTCCTCCTCCTCAGGAAGAGGGGGAGCTGTGACTTGCGAGCCCTAGGAGCCATAATAACCCTAAGACCTAAGAGCCATGCGAGCCCTAATACGCCCTAAGAGCCCCAAGAGCCCTAAGAACCCTGAGAGCCCTAAGAACCTCAAGAGCCCTAAGAGCCCTAAGAGCCCTAAGACCCCTGAGAGCCCTAAGAGCCCTAAGACCCTCAGACCAATAAGAGCCTTAAGAGACCTAAGAGCCCTAAGAGCCCTAAGAGCCCTAAGAGCCCTAAGAACCCTGAGAGCCCTGGGGGCCCTAAGAGCCCTAGGACCCCTAAGAGCCCTAAGAGCCCCGAGGGCCATAAGAACCCTAAGGGCTCTACGAACCCTAAGAGCCCGAATGGCCCGACGAGCCCTTAAAAAGCCCTAAAAGCCCTAAGAGCCAAAAGAGCCCTAAGAGCCGTAAGAGCCGCAATAACCCTAAGAGCCCTAAGAACCCTAAGAGCCCTGAGAGCCCTAGAGCCCTAAGAGCCCGAACAGCCCTCAAATCCCTAAGAGCCCCCAGAGCCTCCAGAGCACTAAGAGCCTGAAGAGCCCTAAGACCCCTAAGAACCCTAAGAGCCCTAAACACCTCCAGAGCCCTAAGAGCCCTAAGAGCCCCAAGACCCCTGAGAACCCTAAGAGCCCGAAGACCTAAGACCCCTAAGACCCCTAAGAGCCC